GTGAGGAGGCGGGCTAAACTCCAGAGAGGAAGACGCTGTAGTCTCCTCCAAAAGATAAAAACGGCCATTGATCTCCCTGCAGGGCCTCTGGGTCGGAAGGATCTGGAAATTCAAACATCAGAGAGAATGCTCAGATTTCTGTGACGCTTTAAATATCACAAAAGGACAGAAAGCATCCAGGGGGCTTTTGTACAGACCCGGGGCACAGAGCGTGATGTGGGGATTCCTGAACAACCCCCAAGCCTCGCCTGTGTGCTACAGGCAGTGAAGACCCCACCAGCGGAGCAGCCTGTCGCCACCTGACAAGCTCAGGAGCCTGCCTGCATCTCCTTCCTTCCCTGGCACTGTCATTCTCCTGGGTGCGGGCATACTGAGGAAAGGATAATGAGGGCAAAGATATCTGGGTTCAGACCAAACTATAAAATTCTACTTTTCTTGCTAATGTCCTGAAATAAAGCTTCCCCTTTCAGAACACCTTGGGGGAGGGGCAAGGTGGGCTCCATTACCAGCTTCACACACACACACACACACACACACACACACACACACACACAGGTCCTCATCTTATTTTCTTCAAAATGGCCATTTGCACTCTAGTGGCTGCAAAATGAAAATGCAGTATCCAAAGACCTGAGTTTCAGGATGAATTGAAGATTCTAATTATGTTCCAATAGTTTTAGTATTTGTATAGTAGATGTACCGTATACTACTATTATATTAAGATCCCAAGTCTATCCTGCAGAATAACTCCCACTTAAAATTCGCACTGGCAGGACCCACTTCTAATCACCCTTTCCCTTGCTCTGCTTTTCTCCTACAGTACTTACTGTTTTGTTTTGCTTTTTAAATCTAAATTTGATTTTATTGGGGGCTCTTATAGCTCTTATCACAATCCATACATATAGCCATTTTGTCAAAGACATATGTTGTCATCATCTTTTTCAAAACATTTTCTTTCTACTTGAACCCCTAGCATCAGCTCCTCATTTTCCTCCATCCCTCACCATGCCCCAGTAATAATTTATAAATTCTTCGTCTTTTTTTCATGTTTTATACTGACTGATGTCTCATTTCACCCACTTTTTTGCTGTCTGTCCCCCTAGGATGTGGGCCATACGTCGATCCCTTGCGCTCCTAGTATCGCTGCTCCCCTGTTTTTAATAGCTCATTAGCTTGTGTATTATACGCATTGTTTATTGCATTTATCCCAATAGAATGTAAACCCCATGAGGGAGTTTGTTGATATTTTCAAGGACATTGTAGGTATGAAAATGTATGTGTGCTTAATGAATACAGGAAATGAATTAAACTTGTGATTCTTCATCCAGGTCCTGCACCCTCCTGCCAGATTCCCAGGCAATATATCTCTGATCCTGCAGTGACCTCTGAATGGATTCCTAGACACTATCCCTACCACCTCCACCAGCCTCCCTCCATCTCGATAATCTGAATCTTTGGAATCATCTCTGATTCATATGGGCAACTCAGCATTATCATGCACAGTGCCTGGAATGGGCAATCACTTAATATTTCTTAATGGATACAATTATGATTATATCTCAATCTAAAATGTTGTAAACCTATAAAATACTTCACAAACATTATTTTAGGGAGTCTACAATCCTGAGAGCAAATGAAAGGCGCCCTAGTGGGTGTTGTGCACACTCGCCAGCCTCATCATCTTTGGGAGAAAGATGAGATTTTCTGCTCCAGTAAAGAATTACAGCCTCGGAAACCCCATGGAGCAGTTCTACTCTGCCTTAGAGGGTCAGTATGAGTTGGAATCAACTCAATGGCAGTGAGTTTGGTTCGGTTTGGTTTGGACCTCTACTAGAAGACATTAGTGGTTTACTGACAGAATTCTTTCTTTATTTGTGGAAGATCCAGGTTTGAAACTTAGCCCAGGTACCTCATGTGCAGCTACCACCAATCTGCCAGTGGCGGTTTGCATGTGGCTGTGATGTTGATTGAACAGGTTACAGGGTAGTTTCCAGACTAAGGTGGAGTAGGAAGAAAGGCCTGGCAATCTGTATCAGAATATCTGTGGACCCCAAGAAACTCTATGCACCTAGAGGGTCCCGTCTGAAACCAGTCATAGAGAGGATGAAGGACTGGGCTTGGTGTTGTCCTGACTCTCCATTAACTAAGAACAGCAGCTTATATTAGACCATGATCTCTCTCAACCATGGCTCACAAGAGAAAGGCTTTTTATATCACAACTCTGTATATATATGCATATTACTGAACAAAATTTCACACACAACATGTGCAATGTACATTTTCTTTTCTAGTCTATATAATTTTAATTTTTACGTTTAACTAATGTTTTATTGTACTTTTAGTGAAAGTTGACACAGGTTAGGTTTTTATTTGATAATTTCTGTCAAATTGTTCGATGACATTAGTTACAATCATTCCTTTTAATGTTTATTATTACCCAACAAATTAATTTCAACATCCAATATTAGTTTATTGGTTTCAAAAAATAAAAATAATGTTAACATCTGCTTTCCATGATGATGGAATAATAGGGAACAGACTTATCTTTGGAGCAAAATAACCAAATCATCTTTTTGATCTATGGAAATATATTAAGCAACTGTTTTTAAGACAGTGAAGGATAATGATCCCTGAAGGATGGAGGAAAAGACACTACCACCAGCACCACAAGGTGAACCCTACACTTGCCTGAGCCCACTTCTTTCAGACAACCTTGGGGAGTGAGAAGTCAGAGTCCTCAGGACCCCATGAAAGAAGGCTTCACAGCTCAGAGGGCAGGATCATCAAGGAGGGATTGGAAGGAGGCAAGAGCTACACACAGAAAAACCTCCAGAGAGCAGCAGTGTACAGCAGAGTACTAGCTAGTACATGTAGGTGATGGAACTGAGACTAGAGAAAGACTGACTGGTGGCCCTTCTGGTAAGGGTTGCATTGCTAACTGCAAGGTCAGTGTTTCAAAAACAGTAGCCACTCTGCGGAAGGCTATCTGCTTCTGTACAGATTGACAGCCATAGGAGTTGTCACTGACTCCGTGGCAGTGGGTTGGATTCAAGGCATCCAGCACTCCTACTGGACGGAAGCAGAAATCCAAAGGTAATTGAAAATTCTGCCCATCAGAATTGAGGAGTTGCCATTAAAGCAGTAGGTAAGGGTGATTTGATAACAATGCATGTCCGTGGAGAAGGACATTGTATTTGGTAAAGCAGAAGCGAAGTGAAAAGAGAAAGCCCCTCAAAGAGATGGACTGACACAGTGACTGCAACGATGGGCTCAAGCACAGGAACAATAGTGGGGCTGCTACAGAACCAGGCAGTGTTTCATTCTGTCCACACGGTCACTATGGGTCAGAACTGACTTGATGGCACCGAAAAAACAAATGTTACAGAATAAGGTTTCTCGGACGTTCAGTGCAAGTTCACAGAGCAAATATATATTAGATTACCTGGATAATTAAACAACTCAACTGCTAATTGAAAGATTGGAGGCTCAAATCCACCTAGAAACATCTTGTAAGAAAAGTTCTGACAAACTACTTCTGAAAAATTAGCCACTGAAAACCCTATCGCAGTGGTTCTCAACCTTCCTAATGCTGCGACCCTTTAATACAGTTCCTCATGTTGTGGTGACTCCCAACCATAAAATTATTTTTGTTGCTACTTCATAACTGTATTTTTGCTACTGTTATGAACCGGGAGTCCCCTGTGAAAGGGTCATCCATCCCCAAAGGGGTCGCGACCTACAGTTTGAGAACAGCTGTGGCCTATATCAATATTATACAATTCTATTTAAGAAATTGGGCAGGAGAGAGCCAATTAAACACAAGTTAAGCCAAAGAGATGAAATGCATTAGTATCAGAAAGCAATACACTAGAAAACAGAATAAACAAAGGGAAAAAAATCAATGGAATCAAAACCTAGGTCATTGAAATGAGTAGTAAAGTTGTTCAACCTCTACCCAGACTGATTGGGAATAAAAAAGAAAAGATACAAATTACCAATATCAGGAATCAGAGCAGTAACAATACTAGAGGTTCTGGACATATATTTGACAGCTCAGGGATGGGGAACATTTTTTCTGCCAAGAGCCTCTTGGGTATGTATAACTTCATTCGTGGGACCCACCGTTCAAACATGTTCATTACCTCGCTCCTATTCGATCTCTGGGACTGCTTCTCTTGGTGGAGGTGGGTGATATTGGCCGATACTGATGATTTTGTAGGCCTGATATGGCCCAAGGACCAGATGTTCCTCGCCTTTGGGTGATACTAATATATTTCTTGAGAGATAAAATCTAGCAAAGAAGAAATAATCTGAAAAGTTTTATACCATAGGAATTGGATTTACCATTAAACGCCTTCCCACAAAGAAAATTCTAGGCGCAGTTGGATTCACTGGCAAATTCTATGAAACCATTAAGGAAGAAATTATAAAAATACTACACAAATGCTTAAAGAAATATTAAGGTAAGAGAATACATCTCAATTCAATTTATGGGGCCAGATTAGCCCCCTGACGCTCAAATCACACAAAAACACTGCAAGAAAAAAAGACAACAGACCAATATCCATCAAGACTATAAATACTTTGTTTTTTTCCTAAACAAAATTTCAGCAAATTGAAACCAATGATATATATATATAAAGGATAATAGATCAAAACCAAGTTTGTTCTATGGATACAATTTTAGTTTAATATTCAAAAATAAAGCAATATAATTCACCATGTTAAAAATGCTAACTATATTAAGCTGCCTTTGAGCAGACACCAACTCATGGCAATTCCTTGCATCCAGAATAGAACTGCACTCAGAAGTGTTTGCAAGACTCTAACCCTCATGAAGCAGGTTGCCAAGTCTTTTCCTCTCATCCGTTTCTCAATGGGTTTGAACCACCAACCTTTCTGCTAGTAATCAAGGGAATAGCTGTTTGTATCACCCAGCAGGGGCTCTCTTTACCCATGTTAACAAATGAAATCTAAAATTACATGATTCTCTAAAGACACAGAAAAAACATTTAAGCAAATGCAACATCTATTCTTGGTAGCTCTCAGCAATCTAGGAATAATAAGTTGGCCACATTCTCACTCAATAAAGGACAGTTACAAAATACCAACAGATAACAATGTTTAAAATGAAAGAATCCTTTTTCCAAAAATATCACAATAACCTTCTTTCCTCATTTACCCCCTCTTTGTGTTGCTTGTGGTGTCCTGTTTCTGAAGTTCCCCTCTTCAGGGGAAAAAGTCCAATTTAAAATCAAGTTTATAATCTAAATAAAGATGGCCACTGGATCTTTAACTTTCCCAAACTACCTACGTTTTAATAAAAGACACTGGGTAGAAGATATAATCCAGAGGAATTTCAGGGGCCACGGTGTCCATGACTGGGAGGTATTTTGGGGGGTCGGGTCAACCTCAAGACAAGCCACAAAGGAGCACCCTCTGCATTTTCAGAGTGTGTCCACCTGGCTCTTACACCACAGCTTCCAGCTCTGAGCTAGGGGCTCCTTCTCTTTCCCTCTGGCAAGACAGTCTGAGAACTTCCTGGTTTCTTTAACTTCCTTTCTTTTCCATATCCAGACCTTCCATGTTCAACTCCTAGTCATACAGTCAGTGTACACTAAGTCCACAGAGACAGAGCTATTGTTAGTTCTTGTCAAGTTGGTTATGACTAATAACAACCTTATGAACAACATAATGGAATGCTGCACCATCTGGTGCCTTCTTCATAATCGTTGGTCCATGTGAACCCATGGTGCAATCAGGCCATCTTACCGAGTGTTTCCTTCATCTTCAATGGTCCTTCACCAGACACCTAAAAGGAAAAACAGGAGGGTGAACTTCAGCAAAGACTGGCAAAATCAATATCACATAGAGCAGTGGTTCTCAACCTGTGGGTCACGACCCCTTTGGGGGGGTCAAAAGATCCTTCACAGGGGTTGCCCCATTCATAACAGTAGTAAAATTACAATTGCAAAATAGCAACGAAAATAATTTTATGGTTGGGGGTCACCACAACATGAGGAACTGTATTAAAGGGTCGTGGCATTAGGAAGGTTGAGAACCACTGACATAGAGCCAGGTGAACCTGAAATATAAGTTTTCAACACCCACCTGTCTCGATTCCATGGCCAGCTCTGTGTGGAATCTAGTATCTGTCAATAGTCTTTACCCATGCCCATACCTGCCTTGTGTTATCGTTATGTTTCAAGAGCCAATCTACTACCATTAACACTGTACTGTGGAACTCCTTTAGGATTACAAGGCAGTTTATTTATTCAACAAACAGTTATGTTTGGTAAAGTAGAGGGAGGGGGGCAAAAAAAGAGGAAGTCCTTCAACGAGATGGGTTGACAAAACGACTGCAAAAATGGGCTCAAGCACAGGAATAATTGTGAGGGTGGCACAGGTCTGGGGAATGTCTCATTCTGTTGTGCACATGATCACTGTGGGTCAGAAACGACTCACCTAACTATTGAAACTCAGGAACTATTGCACCTAACAACAACAACAACAGACTAGCATGAAAAACATCAAAGTATATCAATCACATATAGTAAGGGTAGTGCTTCATGGAACTCTTTTTGCTTTAATCATTGCCCCGGACTGTGTTGTAAATGCATTTCTTATTGTAGTTCACAATTTAAAAGGTTGGGACCCCTGGCAGGGCACACTGTTTAGATTTGCAGGGAAACCCTCTGGATTAGGAGGTTCTTCAGTAATCCTTCTTAATCAAGATATTAGAAATAATAAACACTTCACAGAATAGTAAAGGCATTTGATTGGTGATCATCATCTCTTTCAAGGCAGGAGTCCTCTTAGTCATCGTTTTACTGATGATATCTAGCAGAATGCCATGCATGAAGTTCAATATATGCTGATTTTCATTAAAGTGGATCTCATTTATGTGCAACTATAATCGTCCAAAAGTTTCACTGTGTGGCAAGCCTCGATCTATCTCCCATAGCTCCTAACTATTTAGCTGCAACAACAATGATAAAAATTCAAAATATTAAAACCTTTTGCCCATGTTACATTCCTTTGAATATTCAAATATAGTGTTCCTGTGGCATAATGAACCATGCATTGGGCCGCCAACCACGTGGTCTGCAGTTCAAATTCAGGAGGAAGGTGTGGCCTCTGAAGCCCTAAAGAATTACAGTCTTGAAAACCTACAGGGGCTGTTCTAGCCTCTCCTGTCACTATGGTCAGAATAAACTCACTAGCAGTGAGGTTGGCTTTTTGTTTTGTTTTCTTCTTTTCTAGAAGGAGTCTAGGTGGTGCTGTTGGTTAAGCATTGGACTGTTAGCTGTAAGGTAAGGAGTTCAAATCCATTAGCTGCTCTTTGGGAGAAAGATGAGGCTGTCTGCTTATGTGCAAAGCTTCAGGATCAAGTTGAACTCATTGGCAGTGAATTTGGTTGCTTTGGCTTGGTCTTTTGTAAATGTTTCCAGTCCTTTATCCACTCATTGTGTATTTGGCCTTTTCCTGTCAATTTTTCATCTTAAGGTCCACACTTTTTAATCAAATTCTGTTTAGGTTGATACTGTCCATTATAGCAGTGTTTAGTCACATGTGATTACTGAGCAGTTGAAGTCCGGCTAATCCTAACTGAGATATGCTGTAATTAGAAAATATACTCTTAACCCAGGGACAGGGAACAACAAGTGATCCAAATCAGTGGTGAGGAGGGTGTAAGAGGGCTGGTAGGACGTGACCCAGGGCAATGTAACCGAGAGGAATTACTGAAACCCAAATGAAGGCTGAACATGATAGTGGGACAAGAGCAAAGTCGAAGGAAATAGAGCAAAGAGCTAGGAGGCAAAGGGTATTTATAGAGGTCTAAATACAGGCATGTACACATATAAATATATTTATATATATAAGGATGGAGATATATATATATATATATGGATGGGGGTGGGGGGAGTGTGGAGTGGAGACCCAAAGCCCATTTGTAGACCACTGGACATCCCCTTAAAGAAGGGTCTCAGGGAGGAGACGAGCCAGTCAGGGTGTGATGTAGCAACGATGAAACATGCAACTTTCCTCTAGTTCCTAAATGCTTCCTCCTCCCCCACTATCATGATCCCAATTTTACTTTACAAATCTGGCTAGACCAGAGGATGTGCATTGGTACAGATAGGAACTGGAAACACAGGGAATCCAGGGCAGATGATCCCTTCAGGATCAATGGTGCAAGTGGCAATACTGAGAGGGTGAAGGGAAGGTGGGTTGGAAAGGGGGAACCAATTACAAGAATCTACATATAACCTCCTCCCTGGGGGATGGACAGCAGAAAAGTGGGTGAAGGGAGACGTCAAACAGTGCAAGATATGACAAAATAATAATTTATAAATCATCAAGGGAAGGGGTAGTGGGGAGGGAGAGGAAAAAGTGAGGAGCTGATGCCAGGAACTTAAGTGGAGAGCAAATGTTTTGAGAATGGTGAGGGCAATGAATGTACAAATGTGCCTTACACAGTTGATATATGTATGGATTGTGATAAGTGTTGTATGAACCCCAATAAAATAATAATAAAAAAAGAAAATACACTCCTAAAGACTTAGTACAAAACATGTAAAACATATCACTATTAATTGTATATTGGTTTGGTTACATGTTGAAATAATAATAGTTTGGCTACATCATATACAAAGATATAATCTGAAATAATTTAATTTGGTTTTGTTAAAGTTTTTAATGTAGGAAAATTATTTATGTTAACTGAAAGAAAAATATGTAACGTATGTCTTTACTTAAAATAAAATCTAGTTGTCTTTTAATCAATTATCTAGATCACTCAGTCATTTTGAGACATCAATGTAATCTTTTAAAATCATGAATATTTCATAGCACATGTCTACTGATGCTTCTATGCGTATGTCACCTGCAGGTCTAATATATAAACCTTTTATGCCTTCACTTAAGTCACACACTCAGAAATTTAGCATGACAAGTCCAGACATTTAACTGTACATGTCATTTCTGTGCTCACATTCATTCCTTAAGCAATTGATCTCTAACTTGAGTGTTGTTTATAGATGCGGTTAAGAATCCACCTAACTGAATTCTATAAGGACATCACACTGCAGTTACACAAAGGTGACGCTGGCATGGACAACTGTGAGTCAGAGTAGACTTGATGGCTGACAGTTTGGAGTTTCCCCCATGAGGAAACACTGAGCAAAACAGCTCAGAATGAGGAACAGTAGAGCAGACAAGTAGCAAGTGGTTTAGAAAAATAGCAGGAAAAGCAATTTTGCTTCTGTTTAGAAAATGGGGGCTTCTTCTATTCTCTTTCATGGGTCATCGTTACCCAAATTACCAAGAGTGATTTCGTGGTACCCAAAACATGCTAGTCATAGCCTTCATTAAGTTTGTAATCACTTAAATGATCTCAGATTGCTCACTTAACAATGATGTTAAATTATTTTTAATCATATTATCTCTACCACTGCCAAAATATTGATCTTTTTCATCACCAGAGGACCCAGACTCAGAGGTGAGTAGTCCGGCTTTTTCTTTACCATCTGTTGCTGTCTTACCTTGGCCTGCCCTGGCTTCTGGGCTGGTTTCTTCATTCTTCTTCCTCAATTCCTGGTTCAAATATTTCTTTTGTGTTACTCTTCTTATTTTTCATAAACGTAAATCTATTCTGGACTTCAAACCTCCTGTTATTGTTTTCAAAGATTTGTGCTGCCCTATTGCATTCAAAACTTGACAATGTGCCCCTCTGTCCATCTTGTTCCACAATGAAAGTTTCAGCCCACTTACCTGGAGTTTCACGTTTTCCTCATATGAGTCATTCATGCCTATGTGGTCAAATCTTTATTTTTTTGAACTTCTCTCTTAAATCAATATTTTCTTAAATCAATAGCCCATCAAAATGTTCTAGATATTTTTCTTCAAAATTTTGTAATCTGTTCCCTAAAACTGAGAATACTTTTCAATCTTTTTAACCTCCCATTGCTATCCAGCTTTATCTCTGGCACCACAGCCAAATTGTTCTTATGGGTGGCTTTAGCCATTGCATAAGTGTTCTTTCCCTCCACGCCTACCCAGTCTGATTGTTCTGGTTGCTAGCTGCCATCACTTCAGTTCTGACTCCTAGCAGCACCATGTACAACAGAGTGAACGCTGGTCTGATCTTATGCCATCATCATGATATGCTCAAGTCTATTGTTATGACCACTGCATAGTTGAGTATCATCCATATATTTTAAATGTCATCCCATAGACAGGGTCCACCTGTGGTTCTAATATGCACTTTTTATAACTCAGAAGCAATTAGATGTAGAACCCATCTTATTCCAGCTGATCCACTCAATTAACAAAGCAGGATTACATCCACAGGAATATAGGTTAGGGTTCCAACACATATAATCGTTGCCATAATTAGCCAGTAAGAATTCCAAATTTAATAAAATATAATCTGTTTTTCTTCTGACTGCATCATTTTTATATTAAAACAGCATGCAATGAACAACTAAAGCTACCACCTTGACACATTGGTTTCTATCCATGGTCCTGCTGACCACTCTAATTGATTTTAAAGCCAGGTTTTTACATAATACTTTTAATAATGAAAGTATCCATAACACTGTAAGTTGCAAACTTAATGCCTTAATTTTCATTTTTAATGACAGTTCCTCATTATCAGTCTAAAAAAAATATGTTGGAAACAAAATTTGTTTACTTTTCCTTTCCAATGACTTTAACTAAAGCTTTTTCTGTCTCTCCTAGCCAAGAAAGAAGAAGGAAGAGAAAGAGAAATAACTTAGAGTAAGATCTCTTGCACTTGAACAAGACATAGCATTGACATTCTGTAAGTCACAAGAATCATCTTGGTCTTATCCTCACATTTGCTACATAAATATATAGGCTTGAATTTCAGGGATAATCATGTCACTTTATAGTTTGTATGGTGTCATTAGACAAAATATTTACCTTTCCTAAACCTCTAATGAACCTATCCGTAAAACAAGAATAGCAATTTGAAGTCTTTTGACACCGTTCACATTGGAAAGTGAGTTCTATGGACCTACTTGAATCTAAGCAGGCCTGCGAGTGCCTCAATTAATACAACAGAGCAAAGATATCACTATGCAATTTGAAAAGCCATCATAAAGAGGCAGCTTCTGCCTTGTTCACTAGAACACTCACTCTTGGAACCCGGGACGTTTGTTTGAAAAACCATCTACTCTGAGTCTACCAAGTTGTCATTGCCGGAGAGCTACTTAGGAGCCCAGTCTATGAACACCTACACCTAAGGACCAAACAGTGAATGACCTCTCTATGTCATTACTAGTCCATCCAATATCACTAAGTGGATTTTATCAATCCCTCCAAGCATGAAAGAATCACGCAATCCTGCCCCACTGAATGCCTGACTCACGAGGTAGATTAAGTGTATGCTGCTTTAAGCCATGAAGTTTTGTGTATTTTTTGTACACAGCAACAGATAAAAGAAACAAAAGCAACTAGTAATCTCAAAGTTCCCTTTCAGCTTTGCTACTCATGGAATCTATGAGAGAGATATGTAGGTCTCTGTTGTAGTATAGCTACCTCGTTTGAACTGGGCACAGGACCACTAGATACATATCTTTTGCATTTCTCCATATAAATCTTTCCTAATGTACATTTTTCACTTTCTTTCTTTCAACAGTTTTATTGGCATTGAATCCACATAACACATAATTCAATAATTCAATCATATCAAGAAGAGTTGTACAATCATTACCACGATCAATCTTAGATTATTTTCTCTGCCTACCCCCACTCTCCATGGTTAAATAACTTTTTTAATGAGTTGTGCAACCACCATCAGTTCTTTGTTATGTAACCATCATCAGTGCTCCCTCCTCACTCCTATATGCATTGTGTGTTCCCCCAATGCCCCCACCCTCCCTATCTTCTATCCCTGATCCCTACCTCCCCTATAAAACCATGTATCAGCTCTTATCTCTATGTCTCTCTCCTGTGCTTTGAAAACTCGAAAAACCAACAGGAACAATTTTAAAAGCATTAAATTATATAGTGGTAAGGACAAAACACTAACAATATAGAGATAAAAATACAAATAGTAACTAAGAAAGAAAAGACCACCGTGAATAATTAAAAGGCCAGGGAAGAAATTTTTGTCATGGAACAACCAAGTAATGCACCTAGACGAATTTCAGGTTGGAAATAGAAGGAGGTCAACTGACCAAGTATTAAATTCAGTCCACTATACTCCCAATTACCATGATTTCTATTTTATAGTAATGTTGTTCAAGACCCTTACCTGTGGCTTGTGGGGATCTGCCAAAGGCTTGATCAGGCTAGATACTCTGTAGATGGGTTTGAGGCCCCCACTGTCCTCCATAACCTTCTACAAATTGGGTGTTCACAATTTAGGATCTGATACGTTTCCCTTTGTTATATTTGAATCTTGTTATTGTCGTCTTTGGATCACACATGCTGGAGTGCCTCTTCCATGTAGGCTTAGTTAACTCCTCACTTAGATGGCAGCTTGTTGGAATATAAGCCTTATGACCCCGGACACTATTCAGATTGATAGCTGGGCACCATCTGCTTTATTCACTACATTTTGCTGTAACACCCTTAACTTCATGATCATTTCATGAGAGTGAGTATTGAGCAGGGCTATGCTATCAGAACTAACTGTTCTTGGCCTGGGGCTAGAGTTCAGTGGGGCTCCATAATCTATCTGCTTATCCCTGGGATAAGCATGATTCAGGTTTACTTTGGTGGCCGTATTATGACAAATTCAAAACCCCATAAGATCAACTCCCCCAACAACAGCAAGAAACCAACTAGCAGACAGCAAGAGTCAAACAGACAAACTAAAACAAGCAAACTAAAGGCAGGAAAACAAAAAACCCCATCAAAGCAGTAAAGTAAATCATTGTCAATATGAGACTGAATTGTATTAGACTGGATTAACTAGAGAAACAAATCCAGTGACACTCATATATGTGTATGACAGCTTTATATCTAGAAGTATTTATATATTGGGAAAACACAATCAAGTCCAAAAGTCTGATCCTAGTCCATAAGTCCCATCGTAGTCCATATATCCCTCTTCAGACTCACACAGCCACATACAATGAAGCAAAATGCAGGAAGATCACAGGCCAGTGGGTAAAATGTCTTGTGGCTCGAATGGTGGTAGAAGCATCACAGTGCTGGCACAGGTCTCAGTTCGACTTGGAAGCAGGAAGGTGAAGGCAGAGAGAGTGGCCTGCTTCCAGAGAGACATTTATCTCAGTAGCAACTCCAAATGAGGTCATCAAGCTACAACCTGATCGACAGATTAAACTCCACCCATGCCTTCTTACAGGTGCCATGTTGGCACAAAAAAACTATCACAATAATTATCTATTTAAACCTCAATTACTAAAATAATTACTTTCAAGCTAATGGATAACTTGTGTATTTATACAAACAATAATAATTATTGCTTATAATTCATATTTTCAAAAGCTTTAAGACTTTCTGGTGGAACACTGAGACTTCCTACAACTTGCTATATCTAAAGCCAACATCAGCTGTCAAAACAGACTTCTAGGGAGGATTTTAGCCATTAGATCTTCAGCTGTCTTCAAGACACTGCAGAGAGAATATAAATGAGACACAATTCTTATTTTTCAATAACTTGTAGATATACGGAAAGACTGATGCGAAAATGACATGTGATTTCAATGTGATGGTGTGCAACTAGAAGCACAGGCTAAGAGCTAAAGAAACACAGGAGGAGCATAGTGTTCCATCAGAAAAGCTTCATGGAGGCAAAGACCTCGGAGCTGAGTCTTAAGGAACACACTTGAATTGTCCAGTAGAAGTGACCAGGGGGATAGGATAAGCAAATGCAAAGAAGAGAGGTTTTAGGAGGTACCACGTGTTGCATGTCCATGCTCACACCTTTTCACTTTCCTCCCAAGTAACTCAGCATCAACTGTTTGTTGGCTTCTGGCCCCAGATAGTAGTATTCTTAAGACGTCTCTTCAGATTGCTTTCTAATTGCTTTCTAATTGCTTCTATTTGCTCAGACCACTCATGTGAGGGTGAGTGTGAATCCAACAACCTTTAAGTTAGCAGCTGAGGTCTTAACCATCGTGCCACCAGGGCCCCTTTGTTTAGAATTAATAATTTTATTTTATTTTGTTAGCAAGTCACAAGAGGTCATGCTAGAGTAAGGTGAGGACTAATCCTTTCTGCGTGGTATAGTATAAGGGGACAAACAGCTATGGAAAGAGAGCGAGACACTGGGGAAAAACATATAAAGATCCAACGAACGCCAAGAAATATTCAGAATTCTGAGAAGTTTAAAAAGACAAGGAAGGATCTTCCTCTAGAGAAGAGAGAGAACACTGCTGTTGATACCTTGAATTTAGGTATCATTTCTGATCTTTGAACTCACCCACCTTGTATATTTTGCAATGCATCAGTGAAAAACTAAGATGCACAAAAAAACACAAATTTCCTTCCTTCTATAGGATCCCTAGTGGTTAGGCATTGGGTGATTAACTATGGTTTAGCTATTGACACAGCAGCTGCTCCATGAAAGAAAGATGAAACTGCTGACTCTGTAAGATGTGTAAGTCCCAGAGACCCTATATATGGTCACTTTGAATTGGACTCAGTCTGTCAGTGAGTTAGCTTTTTTTGAACAGTCCTTGGGAAGTTTCAGAAAATCTTTTTCTTTCTACCTGAAAAATAGGCATCTTCTATGCCCAAGGTATGATTCCTTGAGGGTTGGAAGAAAAGATTCCAGAGAGGAAAGAACCCTTGTGTTAGCCTGGGTTGAC